ATTACATGGAGAGAATAGTGACAAGGCAGCGAGGACAGGGACAGGATGGTACATGGTCCTTCCATCTGCTCTTCTGCTGAGCTGAGGGGGACAGCCCTTCTCTCCCTCCCACTGACGTGTCTGGAAGGATGAAGCTCTCTGCTTGGCAGTTCCAGCCTGATGGGCACTGGTTCTTGCTTACCCCGAGCTCACCTAGGAGAATAGAAGGACCTGGAAGAGAGGAGGCTGTTGCCAAGGAGCACACTGTATATATGGGACTTTCATTGGAATAGGTCCATCTCGGGGGAGCATTTATTAGGCCAGTGGGAGTCCCTTTGGGGTGGAGGAGCAAGGAAACATGGAGAATTCATTCAAGCCAATGCTACTGGAAACAAGTCAAGTTGAGGCAAATCTATTCCTACATTCACGAAATAACATTGAAACGTGTCATGTACCATGTTAGACCTTGGGAAGAGGGCAAGAAAAGAAAGAAAGAAGGAAAAAAAGAAACAAGAAAGAAAGAAAAAAATCAATTCAGAAATTACCATATCAATAAATAGTCTGGCTTGTGTCCTCAGAAGCTTCTGGTGGGGGTTGTGCTGTCAGTCCAAGACTACCCCAAATCCCTGCAAAGTCACCTCTTGATTTAGAGTAGAGTGGTGGTGCTCTGTGAGAGAGGAAGATTTGCCAGTGGGAAAGGAAAAGTTTGGATGAATCAGGCCAAGGGCCTCCCAGGCAGAAAGGATGGCAGACTCAAAGGCCTTACCAGGAGGCTTGGAGTCTGGAGGGGTGGGAGGGTAAGGGTGGGAGGGTAAGAGGTAGGAGTGAAGGGGATGGGAGTCAAGAGGTCTTCAATGCAGGCCACGGGAAACTTGTCCACATGGTAAGGTTTTGTCTTGGTTCCAAGCACAATGGGGATTCAGTGCAGGGTTTAAGTGGGGAGGGACAGGATCAGATTTGCAGCTTGCAAAGATCTCTCTGACTGGGGCTTTTAGAACAGACTGAAGGAGGACAGACTGGGTGAACGTAGGGGAGCCCATTGGCAGCTCTGCAAGGTGCTGGCACAAGGGTGAAGTCATGGAATGGGCCTCGTGGGTAGCTAGGCCCACCTGCAGGAGGCTTGCCAGGCTCTGTGTGTCTTAGAACCCTGTCTGGGCAGGGCGGAGGAGGGTCTTCCTTCCTCAGTACTTTCTACCTGACTGCAACAGTCAACTCTGGATCTCGACAGGGCAAGATTTCAAACGGAGAACAAGATGTAACAACCAACCTAGGAGACTACGTCAGTGACAGCGGGTGACTGAGCATCTTATCATCACTGTAGGCTTGGACCACCATGGGAATGGACTGGTTGGCTAGAGAATGGGAGTGACTGGAACTCCAGGGTAGGAAACAGTTGTGAAGGAAGTGCAGGGAGCTGAGACAGAAGGGCCTGGGGTCATCTTTTTGAAGTCTAGGAGACCTGAGGGTCCCTTTTGGATTTTTACAAACATCCAGATGGTGGTGATCAAATTCTTGTTTCCTGAGAGGAGTCAAGAAATCTTGTGGCTTTGTTTTTTACTTGGTAGCTTTCCCTTGGAAGATTTGCTGCAAAATCTTTTGTCATTGACATTTTTCTTTTAGAATATGGCCACATAGGAACTGACAAAGGTGAGGCCATTCGCCATTGGTATGTGTCTCCTCTGAGACAAGAGAGTGGTGAAATCATCACCCTTGGATGAGAGAGAACTTGGATGAGAGAGTGTGTCTGCCCTGGTTTTTAGCATTCTGGGGTCTGAAGGATGTAAATATTCAGCTCCTTCTGCTCTGCTTGGTCCTGCCAATCAGTACCAGCTTGAGCTGGGCCTGGAGTCATCATCCCCGCCCCCTGGTGTGGGGGAAGCCATGATCCTCAAGGAAAACAACAACAGTAACAGTAAAAATCATCACAGCTGGTAATTCTTGCAAAGAGAGCACTAATGAGTGCCAGCAATTGTCCTTGGTGTCTTAATATAAAATCATTTAAATCCCACATCTGTAAGAGATGGGTATCATCATCATCATCTTCATTTTATAGATGGAGAAACTTGAGGCACAGAGGAGTTAAACTCCATGCCCAAAGCCACATAGTGTGGTAGAGCAGGGACTGTTCCAGGGCCTGAACTCTTCCTCACTAACTGCATGCTTACCTAGGTTGGCTGGGGAGCCCCCTGCTAGTACTGCTTAGGCAGAACACTGGGTCTTACCAGAGGATTCCAGAGCATCCAAGTGACTTTAGCTCTGTCCAAGGTCCCACTGCTCGGTGTGAGGGCACAGGATGACAGTTCAGGCCAAGACCAGTAACCTGAGGCCTTGTGGTGCAGAGGAAGAACATGGAATCATGCTGGCCAGAGTTCCACCCTTGCCCCACCATCTATTAGCTATGTAGCACCAACACTGTTCTGTGCCCATTTTCTCATCAGCAGGTTGGAGAGGATAGACTCACCTGCTAGGTGGCTGTGGAGTGCAGTGAGATGAAGCATGCTTACAGCAGGCCTAGGCTGCACATAGTGGGTACCCAGTAAGGAAGAGTGGCTGGTGTGGGCCCCTGTGGCAAAGCCTTGGGTAGCCCAGATTAGCCTGGATCCTGAGTTCCTCTGAGTGTGAGGCTGAGAGCTGCCCCTGTGGGAACACTACCTTCTGCTCTGATTGCAGGGGTCTTGAGGGTTCCAGCACATCCCAGTCTCTCAGGTAGTCTGCTGGGAGGAGGTCACCATGGCAACACTCTGGGAACACCTGTTGGAGGAACAGAGCTCCTGGTGCTACATTCCAGTGAGAGGTCATATCTGCCCTGCTGATGGGAAGGCTGGGTGACCCTGGGCAAGTCACTTTCCCAGACAAGGTCCAGGCCATGTTTCTGAGGTGAAGCCTCCGGCCTGGGCTTCATGAACTTTGCTGCTGCTCCACGAGGGATGGGGAGGTGTTTTCCCCAGAGAGGAAACACTTCGCTCTGATCACTGAGAGTGAGGGCACATAAGGGGAGACTGGAGTTGGGACAGTGTCTCCTGGAAGCTACCTGGGGCTCCTGGGAAGCAGGCTGTGTTTGCTTTGCCTCCTGAACCGTTGTTTCCTTACTTGTTAAGTCTCTTCTTTCACAGGGGTGGAGTGATGGGTAGGAAGTGAGGGGGGTGCTGCCTGATTTGGGGGATGTGTCTCAGTGCCCACTGTCTCAGTGAGGAGAGAGATATGCAGGTGCCAGACATCATCCAAAGTTCCTGCCAGCCAGCCCACCTCCACCGCCTTAGTGGGAATTCTATCCTCAGGAATTCCCGAGTTCTGTGTTGGCCCTGCTTCATGCAGACAAGTTCTGGCATTTGCCTTCCCTCTGTTTTGTTAGTGGCACACTGGGGATGTAACAGTCAGCTGCCTTCTAAAGCCTAGTTGCCATGTGAAGAGATGAACAAATGTCCAATTCATCATGTTCTTAATCTCAACATTTTCCTAGGGATTCCTCCAAATGTCTCCCACTTTGTGCAATATTGTTTATCTGCTTGATGATAGTTTGTTTCTTTTCTTTCTCTCTCTCTTTCTCTCTTTCTCTCTCTCTCCCCTCCCTCCCTCCTCCTTCCCTCCCTCCTTCCTTGCTTCCTTTTTTTTTTTTTGAGACAGGGTCTCCCTATGTAGCCCAGGCTGGTCTTGAACTCATGATTCTCCTGTTTCAGCCTCCCAAGTGAGATAAAACAAGCCAGGTGTCTCAGGCATGGGGAACTAGGGAAAAGGTCAAGAAACTGATATACCAAATGAAAAGATACTTTATGGCTGTCAAAACCTTAAGAGAACCAATAGGGCCCAAGGCTGAACCAGTGGGCTGTACGGCTCATGTATCCTCTTGTCTTCAGATCTAGGCAAAGGTCTTAATAAGTCTTCAGAAAGTACTTGTGAAATTTCCTTAGCTAGATAAGAATTCCAAGAAAATACTGGAAAGAAAATATTCCAGAATATTAATGGGATTATGTATTACTTTCATTTTTCTATTTTTTTAAGGAAATTAAAATATGCATATGTTATTCTCACTTTAAAATGCAGTAACTTAAATGTTGTTATTGGCTTTGAAAAATATAAATGACTTTAAAAAATTACAGTGTGGAAAAGTAAACTAAGTAAGAAAACTAAAGTCATCATATATCTTATCATTAATATGTGGCCCCCAGCCTTAGCTCACCCAGTACATAGATTTGTGGTGCGTGTGCGTGTGCATGTGTGTGTGTGCGCGTGTGCGTGCACGTGAACATGTGCATGGAATGTGGACACCTGTGTGTAAGTGGCTCTCCCGGAGTACAGGCTGTCCTGTGACCCGCTGCTACATTCAGTGTCACAGCAGTGCTCCTTGTTTTCAAGCATGTCTGTAGAATTTTCAGTGGCCACACACTGTTAATTTGGTTTCTTGGATGCACTGAAATTCAACTAAGCATCATTTTCTTGCCGACCATTTGAGTTGTTTATAACGCTTTTGTCTTTCTAATCAACAAGATGTAACTTTATAATGAGAACAATAAAGCTACCAAAATGCCCTGTACTATTGAGTTTAAAGCTGAAAGTTTCAACAGGATGGCTCGAAGGAAGGCCTACGGTGTTGGGAGTGGAGGACTCCTAAGGATGGCCTCAGTGTTTGGAGAATGGTTGTTGCAGAAGGCCATTCCAGGGAAGAATAATTTAGATAAATTAGATAAGACCCTGTCTCATGGAGAAGGAATTCTTACAGTGCCTAGGGTGAAGAAGTGGCTTAGTATGGGGCAGCTGCTGATGGCTGTGCCAATTGGAACATCACTGAGACCCCTCCAGACCCTAGTAGTGTACTATGATTGGGATTTCTACAGCCTGCCCAGCAGTGTGCTGTGTTTGTTGTTCCTATTGGTAGAATGTGGGCTGTTTGGCTTCTTGGGAAGGCTGGGCTTTACCCAACTGGTGAGACAACGGGCTTGATCCAGGTGGAGGGGAGTCTGGAGCTGAGCCCCAGGGGCCCACCCCACCCATCTCACCACTTCCTTTTCCTCCTTCTCTTCCAGGGAACTCAATGGCAACAACATCACTCGGATCCATAAGAATGACTTTGCCGGGCTTAAGCAGCTTCGAGTCTTGTGAGTATGGGCTGCTGTTCCCCTCACCATCTGTCTCCCTCCCTCACTTCCAGCATTGGGGCTCTAGACAGAACTCTGGGTGGGAGTTTAAGAGTCATAGGCTAGCCCAGGCCTTCCATTGTGGAGTCATGGGCGGGGCCTGAGGGAGTAGAGAGGGGTGATGTGGAGTTCTGATCTAGAGCACCTACTGCCTCTCATATGTTGAAAAAAAATGAGTACAGAGAAGGACTTGGACTGGGCAGTCCTGGCCTTTGCTGTCTCTTGGGGACGAGAGAAGAGCAGGTGGCATGAAGAGTCTGTAAGTCTCTGCTGAGTCTAGCCTGCTGATACCATGGGCAAGGCCTAATGGGGAGATAGGCTCACAGATAGGCTTTGCTCAGGGCTGGAGGCTGAGGCCCCAGATCAAGGTGCTGCAGGTTGGTTCTTGATCAGGTATCTGGTTTGCAATGGCATCTGCTCACCTGCATGGCCTGGCCCTGTGAACACACAGAGAGGGCTCTGGAGTTTCTTCCTCTTCTTATAACATCACTAGCCCCTGGGTATCAGGGCTCACCCAGATGACTACATTCACCTGACCTCCCTCTCTAACAGCCCTGCCGCCAAACACATCATACAGGATATTAGGTTCAACATACAGGGGTGGGTGGTGGAGAGCATGTTTTTAGCCAACCATTATCCCCCGAGTTCTTTGGAACTTGAGCCTCAGAAGGACTCCCCAACAAGGCCCCCGATTTAAGAGGGAACAGTTGAGGACAGGTGTGACTCTGCTCAGGTGTCTGAGAGTGGCAGATTCTGGAGGTGGTAGGCACAACCTTGTTGGGCTAGGGTGGCTGGCCAGCAGTGAGCCATCTACAGTGCTTGTCAGGCTTAGGCAGAGGTGATATGCTCATGTCAGGCCTTCACCCCTTCATCCCTTCCTGCATTGCTGATCTTGGAGAGTAGAGGCATCCCTGGCACACTGGCATCTGATCTAAGAATGACTTTATTGCCTCCACAGCAACTCAGTTTGACTCAGAGACCACACCCTAACTGGCTGTCAGGAAACTCAGTATCAGATGTGTAGAGTCTCTCACTTCCCATTCCCAGGGTAGTGCAAAGGTTCTGAGCCTCAGTTCTTTCAGAATCATTGACTCGGCAGTTCTGAAGGTCTTGGGAGGAATGGGGGACCTTGTGGCCAATCTTCTCTGAGGTCAGGGGCAACAAGTCACAGGATAGAGTCTGCTGCTTTAGAACTCTCTGACCTTGACCAAAGCCTTCTCTTTTCCCAGCCTGGGAGGACCCTCCTCTCCCAGAATTCTGCTCCCCACAGGCCCCCAGCTGAGAGAAGTGCATACTAACCCTGTCCGGCCTCAAACCCTGATCAAGGACCATGCAGGGCAATGTGATCCATCTGCTTGGGAGCAGAGAGGGTAAAACACAAGAGGAAAAGTACTTCAGTATCTCCCAAATGATCACACAGGATCCCGTCTCTTGGGATGCGGTCCACCAGCTGACACTTTGAAACAGAGCATGTTGGTATAGATGCAGAGTCTCATGGGACCAGGTGGTCAATTGGCCTGGATACCCCACTCTTTTCTTCAGCAGATGGGCCTAAGCAGAATGGGGTTGCAGGCAGTGGGCGTGTTGCCTGCCAACACTATAGCATGCTTGCTGTATGTGTGGGCTCTGCCCAGTTGGCACAACTTTCCTCCCCCATCCTGGCTGTACCCCTTGGATGTGTGCTCTGGACCAAAACAGGGCACATGCCCCAGCCGCCCAGCACCTTCATCAAGCACAGCTGTGGAGCATTGGCACTGTGCCCTTCTTCAAGGCAGGGACTTCAAATAACCAGCATGGCTGGGGGTGCTCAGGAGCCCAAGTTGGGGAGTTTGTGAAGTTGTGGCCACTCAGCCCAGAACTTGGATCTGCATGGGGCCTGAGAAAGGCTCCCACCTCCCTCCTGAGTCCATGATGCCCTGGCAAAGTTTGCTTGGGTTCCACTCTCTCATCTCAGCTGTTTCCAGGAATCCTTGTCCAGCTTGCTGTAGCTGTTCTTTCTCTTTGCCTCTCAGGCAGCTGATGGAAAACCAGATTGGAGTGGTGGAACGCGGAGCTTTCGATGACATGAAGGAGCTGGAACGACTGTGAGTACTGGTGGGCGCAAGTTGGGGAGAACACTGGGGCTGCCAGAGAGGGTATCAGCAGGCTGAGCTGCTGATAGGAAGGATCCTGGTGCTTAGGGGAGGGGACCCCAGGCCGACTCCGCTTAATACTACATTGTGAGACAGTAATCATAAGAAAATGGGAAAGTACCCCTTTCCTCATCCTCAACGTAGCCCTGCTGTTTGTCCCTGCAAATATGTGGCAGTAAAATTCACACAAGTGAAATTCCTTCCATTCATCTGTCCTGAGGTCGAGCTGCCATTCATTGACTGTGCATTCATAAAGGCAGTCATTGATGTACTGAGGTAGTTGTGGAAGCCCCTGGATCTGTGATTTGCTGTGCTAGTCACTCAGGGCCACAGCACAGCAACAGGCAAATGGCAGCTTGCTCAGAGTTTGCATGACTTGTTCCTGAGTGGAGTTTCCAATTTTAAAATCCTGGTCTCAGTGAATTTTCAGCATTTTACAATGATGATAAAAAAGAAAAGGACCTGGTGGGGTGCAGTGGGGATGGGCACGTGCCTCTTCAAGGTGGTCTTCATCTAGTCCCAAAAGGTGGTTTGACTGCAGGGGTAGGGTGGGGTGGGGCTTCAAAGTTCATGATCTTTGACTAGAAAGTTTTTTTTTTTTAATTTTTTAAAATTTTATTTTGTGTGTACAAGTGTATTGGCTGCATGTATGTGGGTGCACCTGTGTCGTGCAATGCCACAGAGATCAGAAGAGGGCTTCGGATTCCCCTGAAACTGGAGTTAAGGATGGTTTGTAGCCACCATGTAGGTGCTGGGAATCGAACCCGGGTCCTCTGCAAGAGCAGTCAGTGCTCTTAACCACTGAGCCACCTCTCCAGCCCCGAAAGTTTGTTTTATATTAAAAAATTGACAAGAAAAATGGCCAGAAATTGATATTGCTGGATCTTCCTTCCACATTAATTACTTAAATGCAAAAAGAAAAAAAGGGGGCTGGAGAGATGGCTCAGTGGTTAAGGACACTGGTTGTTCTTGCAGAAGACCTGGATTCGAATCCCAGCACCCACATGACAGCTAACAACTGTCCGTAACTCCAGTCCCAGGGGATTCAGCAGCCTCTTCTGACCTCCATGGGCATTGCAGACATGGATGCGCTTATCTACATGCATGGAATACACACATACACATAAAATAAAAATAAATAAAATTTTAAAAAATGGAAGTAGCTGTTCTGGTGGACACAAAATATAAAAATCACATTTCTGAAATACAGATAAGACTATGGGGATGTGTTCACAATATAATAGTAGGTGGAAAAGGCAGGAAGTGAGAGCTGTATAAATAAAATCAATGTGTAGTGAATAGACTAGAGGAGGAAAACAATGGGGACCATTAGTTCTTAATTATAGCAAAGGTACGGTAACAGCTAACTTCAATTTTATTCTTTGTGCTTTCTTTTCTTTATTTTCTTTCTTCCATTTTAAAAAGTTATTTATTATTTTCATTTTATGTGTATGAGTGTATTGCCTGCATGTATGTAAGTGCACCTGTATTGTGTAGTGCCCATGGAGAAAAGGCTGTTGGAGTCTCTGGAACTGGAGTTACGGAGGGTTGTTAGCCACCATGTGGGTACTGGAAACTGAACCTGGATTCTCTGCAAGAGCAGCTAGTGCTCTTAACCCTTGAGCCATCTCTCCAGTCCCTACTCCTGTGTTTTTTATCTAGCAACTCAGTGCTAGGCTAGATGTTCACCCCCATGCTTGCTTTCTTTAAAAGACAAAGGGCTCACACATAAATTTTTTTATAACTTAGATCAAGATCAAAATGCCTGGCTCTGAGTGGCTAACTTGGATCTAAGCTATTCTACCCTATGTCTGGTGCTCCCAGGTACTGGAGGAGTAGAGAAGGTGGGCAAGGGCCAGGGGTCTAGACATGACCAGGCATGGCCCACTGTGCCTGCTGTTGCACCCCAGGCTTGGCAGGAGCTTCCTTTTTGAGTCATGACTTGTCACTGCAGACCTTGTCTTTCTCTAGTTTCTTTTTTGCCTTGGTGGGTCACCAGTAACTTTACAGAAGCCATTATTCTGTCTCTGGGGCTGTCAGGCATGCACTGTGCCTTCAGTGAGCGGCCAGTACAGCGGCTGTCTGCTGTGATACACTGATTTGCAGGAGGCTGGGGGTCTGTTACTTGTGAAAGCTGGTGGGGTGGAGAGTCAGAATAAAGCACACAGACTGTGAACATCAGGCTTTCAATCTAAACACAGAAATACCCATTTATTAGCTCCTTTCTCAGCCCTATCTTGCAAGAATTTCTCTATTCTTTTTTGTGTGAGATAGTGACTTGGGTTCTATATGTCTTTGTTTACTGAAACCATACACACATAAACCTTGTTTGATTGTTTTGTTTTGGCTTCTTGAAGGTAGTGTGAGTTTTTTTTTTTCAGGGCTTTGGAAGCAATCTGGGTGGAGAATTAAATCTTTTTACTTAATTCAGCAGCCCTTCAATTAGCAGCTTTCCTTTTTCATCGAATCTTTCCAAAGCATTCAATGTAATTTTCATACAGATGACTCTTTCCAGTGGTGTTCCATTTATTTGTGAATGAAGCTGATTAAATTATGCAACTATAATTGTAAGTGCCTACGACACAAACACATTTGAGAACAGACATAGCTGGTTCTCACAAGCAGTTAGGAAATGACTGTAGATGTACCAGGCCCTAGTGGCTGTGAGAATCAGAGTGCCGTGGCCCCAGCTGGCCTGCTGCTGGGAAGGTGTGGAATGCACTCAGTTCCTGAGAGAGCCAGTTGCATGGAAGTGAGGCAGGATGGGAGCTGCAGAAAGGCGGGCCCAGAAGCCCACATCCACTTATCGGAGAGTGCTTGGCCAAGTCACTTCTCTCTTGGCATCAAAATGACCTCAATTGTCAAGGGCACAACTCAACAAACCAATTTTGGGCACCTGTTAAAAGCTAAGCTATGTAGCAAGATGGTGACATTAGAGCCTCTTGAGCTTGATGCAAGGAAGAGGGGTGTATGTACTTGAATGGGAGGCATCTTTATCATACTGGAGTGAAGAAAGTCCACCTTTTACTCTGCTTCTATCTTATGAGGTGATACTAGAAAAGACCTATTTTGTTGCCTGCAGTTCCTAAAGGCTGAGGATGGCAGGGGGCCCCTCCGCTGCTATTTTTTTAAAAAAATTTATTTATTTTATTTTTATTTTTTATGTGTATGAGTGCCTGTGTGTAAGTGTACTTGTGTTATGCAATGCCTGAGAAGGTCAGAAGGTGTTGGATTCTCTGGAACTGGAGTTACGGACGGTTGTTAGCTGCCATGTGGGTGCTGGGAATCAAACTCCAGTCCTCTGCAAGAGCAGTCAATGCTCTTAACTGCTGAGCCATCTTTCCAGCCCCTTAGCTGCTATTTTTTTATTTTGAGGTACCAATGTGTCTCTTATCCTTGGTGGCTCTTTCCTTTGGTGTCCTTTGAGTTTCTACTTTAAACCACCGGTTTTCATTGAATTCTTCCCTTCTCTCCCTAAATGATTTAAAAAAGTTGAGGCCAGAAAAATGAGTGTCTTGGAGAAAACTGAACCAAATCCAGCAATTGGCAGGCAGTGTAGATATAGGATTAACATATTGGATTGGGGGTAAGGAACTTGGAGAGATCTGATGCCTGCTCCTGTTGCTTTAAGGATTACATTGGTAGTCCCTTTTTCTTTCAAGGCAAAGATGGATGTGTTTCCTTGGGAGCCTGTCCTTTAAAGTAAATTTATTCCAGCTAGCCTCCTAGAGGCACCTGATTGTCCCGAGTGTGAACATGGAGAGCCCCAATGTCATGCTTATGGCCATTCTGACGTTCCAGATGAAGGTCGTCCTTCTAGGAGGTAATGCAGTTGGTTTATTGCAGTCTGTAAAGGACGCATTGGTGGTGATCTCTGTGCAGTTCACACTGTGTTGTTACCTTGCTGGTGGACCGCATTGTAATGCAGCAAGTTTCATATCTTAACTTGAAGTCACAGGGCTCTTGTGATTTCTCAGGGCTAGGGTAGTGTTGGAGGTAGTACAATTCTTGCCACTACCCAGGGGTGCCTGAATTGGTTGCCCACTGATTAAGGTTCTATGTATCATGGGTATCAGGCCCCAGGATGGGCCGAGCTGCTGTGCAGTAGAGAGTAAATGATAGTTGATTTTATTACCATTTACCATAGTTTTTCAAAATTTTAGATAGCATCCTTTGCTACATCCTAGACTCCAGTGTTAAGGAATTAGTTGCTTAAATTTGGAAGGATGAGTCTTCCAGGACAGGTCTGGGTCTTTTCTGTGCTCACTCTTCTCATCAGGCAAATTCTAGCTCCAGACTTCTTGTTCCTGCCTGTATGTTTAGCACTAAAAAAGTCCCATTGTCTCTTAGGAGAACTGAAAATTATGGGTGTATTACTTGGCCATTAAAAACCAAAAGATAGGATTTGGAGAGATTGCTCAGCGGTTAAGAGCACTGGCTGCTCTTGCAGAGAACCCAGTTCCAGGGGATCCAACGCCCTTCTCTGACCTCCGAGGGCATTGCATGACATGGGTGTACTTATATACATGTAAGCAATACACTCATACACATAAAAAAAAATAATAAAAATCAAAGGGTGGCTGGGGTGTATGTAGCTCAGTGGTCTGAATTTGCCTTGCACACATGAGGCCTGAATTTGATCCTTAGCACTGAAAAAAAAATCTCTACTATTTGCCATGGAAAGCCTGCCAAGTAAGAAAAATGCTGGTGGTTATATCTTTTCTCTGATAATTTGAATATTTTTTTAAAGCATGCATTTTCTAACTTATTTTGGGGGAGAGAGTCTTACTCTGGCCCAGGGTATCCTGGAACCCGTTATGTAGCCCAGGCTGGCCTCAGACTCACAGTGATTCTCCTACCTCAGCCTCACAAGTGCTGGTATTTAGAGGCATGTACCACCATGCCCAGTGTATGGTATACATTTTTATTAATTATAAAAATATTATTTTAATTCTAGCTTGGGAGCTAGGGACAGGCAGATCTCTGTGAGATTGAAGGCAGCCTGGTCTACATAGCGAGTTCCAGGCCAGCTGTGGTCACAGGTAGACCCTGTCTCAAAAAGACAAAAAAAAAAAAGAAATTAATGAAGTTATTTTCATTTTGAAAAAGACCCAAAGTAGGCAACCCCACCCCCTGAACTTCACTAACCTTGCCTAGGCAAACATGAATGAAAGCACTTAGGAACTGGGGGATCTGGCCACCCTGACCCCATTAGAGCCTGTCTCACATTTCATATGGTCAGGGATCCAATTCATAGCTGGGGTTGTCCTAGAATCGGATCTTAGTGGAGCGTGAGGTGGATGCCGAGGCCTACAGGAAGAACAAGGATGGGAGACCACTCTAGCTCTGGCCAGCGAGGGATTTGTCCTGTGTCCTAGAGACCTGGAATTGTACTCTGGTCCTGTTGGCACATGACTCCAGGGCCTATAACTGGGAGTCCGGTGCTTTCTGAGAGGGCCTCTGGCTCTCCTGGGCACCTAGGTGACTTTCACCTCTCCTGTTCTCATTTCTAGACGGCTGAACCGTAACCAGCTACACACACTGCCAGAACTGCTGTTCCAGAACAACCAGGCTCTGTCCAGACTGTGAGTAACATGTGGTTTGCTCCCTACTCAGTGGAGGGGCTGGATGTGGTCAGTGGGACCTGGACTTTCTACAACCTTGGCAGGAAAGGTTCTGGGCATGGAAGGTCAGGCTTTTCTGTAGAAGGTGGTGGTGTGGGGCACTTCTCCAGGCAAGAGATTGAAAGGCTCCCAGCTCAGCCAGCTAAACGTGCTGCTGCTGACAGGAGGGTGTCATGAGAGTAGGCATACCGGCCAGTTGTGCTGCCAGCTTTGCAGTGAGCATCCTTGGGCAATCCTCACAGCCTTTGGGCACCTGTCTTGGCTGAATATTTTTTCATTTGATTAAACCCTTCTTGAACTTATTTCCGTTTTCAGCTCCTTCTACCTTTAAGGCTGTGTGATCTGTGCTGTGAGTGTACTTATTACTCGTGCTGTAAAGCCATAGTTTTACTCACTGTCAATGTTCTTCTTCCAAGTTTAAAGGATAGCAGCTAATTCTGGTGCTCTGTGATTTTCCAATATGTCTGAGTCATTCTATAATCTATTTTGTTTTGTGGGATCTTGGGTTGAATGGGCCTTTGAAACTTGCTAAGGAATCTCCTCTGCAGCTCCTTAGGCTACTGCCCTTCAGTCTTTGGTTACCTCTAGCACCAGGGAGTTCATTGCCCCACTTCCCCAGGAAATCAATTCTTTTATTGGACACATACTCTGCATATTAGAAAATTCTTAACTTTGAGTCCTCAATCTGCTTTCTAAAAAACCTGTGTTTTTCTAAATTTTGCTCTCTGTAATTACTTAGAACAACCCTGCACTCTTGTTAATTTTTTGGAGGGCTGTTGTGGTTTTGAATTTTGAGTTGGGAGGTTTCCGAGTCCCCTCATCTGCTGTTATTAACAACCTTGAGAACACTGGCAGGGACATCTGCATGCCTGTGTATGGGGAACCTGATCCTTAGTGGAGTGGCAGACAGTCTGGGAAGTGGAACATCAAGAGTTAGATGGTTCTGGGTTTTTCTATGTGACTTTGCCAGTAATTGGCACCAACTTTTCTTCCTGTGCACTGCCAGCTACCACCTGAGACTGTGTACTCATGCCTGTGGGTGGCCCACCATGATTACCTGGTTGCATCCTTGATAATGGGGTGAGTGACCAGCCTTGCAGGAGAACTCCTGTCACCTGGCACATGTGGTCATGAGGCAGGCAATGTCTCTCAGCCTTACTACTGTGGGGACAAGGTTGGAGGGGCAAAGTGATTTCCTTGGAATCAAGCTTCCATGAAGCCCTTTTGACTCCTAGCCCAGTGCTCTTCATGTTTCATATTTTAATAGGAATGCTGGAGCAAAGGTCTTCCATGCTTTAACAAATATTAAGTAACCAGATTTTATAACAAGACTGGCATATGGAAATCCACTCAAGGAGAAGCCGGAAGAAGGAGATACCTGCTTTTGGTACTCTCTGGGCTAAGAGCCAGGGAGGCAGTGGCCTCCAGGCCTTGTGGGGTTTATTTCCAAGCTCTGAGACTGGGACTTCTCCTGAAAACTTCCCTGCCTTGCCTTTGATAGGAGAATATTTCTTTTTTCTTTCTTTTTTTTTTTTTTTTCAAGACAGGGATTGCCTATAGCCCCAGCTGGTCTAGAACTCACTATGGAGACCAGGCTGGCCTCAGTCTCACAGAGATCTCTTGCCTCTGCCTCCCGAGTGCTGAGATTAAAGGTGTGTACCATCACGCCTGGCTAGAAGAACATTTCTTACGCAGGGCCATAGCTGGATTTGGATGAATGGAGCATGTTTTCTTCAGTTCTCTCCTTGCATTTTTTTTTCTCTTTTTATTTTGGTGTTCTGGGCTGAAGATTAGGATCAGTTAGTATAAATCATTTGGATTAAAAAAAAAGGAACACTTTAAAAGGAAATCTGAAAAGCAAGACTCTAAGCAAACTGGTCAAGACACTAATTTTTTTTTTTGGTCTTTTTGAGACAGGGTCTCCCTGTAGTCCCAGCTGTCCTGGAACTCACTATGTAGACCAGGCTGGCCTTGAACTCACAGAGATCTGCCTGCCTCTGCCTCCTGAGTGCTGGGATTAAAGGCGTATGCTACCACGCCCGGCTAAGACACTAATTTTTATGTATAATCACTTTTTTTTTTTTTCCGGTCTTTTTGAGACAGGGTCTCCCTGTAGCCCCAGCTAGCCTGGATTCGCTATGGAGACCAGGCTGGCCTTGAACTCACAGAGATCTGAGTAAAATTAATTCTGCCACATAAGAGTTCTGTACCAGAATTTTTTCCTCTCACCAGTGTTCTTGGATTTGAAGATGGTGGTTTACCCCAAGAACCTACTGTTTTCTCACAAGAAAACAAAGGAGAGCTGGCACCAATGCTTTTATTACAGCATTTATGCAAACCCAGTTACCTAAATGTGAAGGTATATATGATCTTTAATAAAGTATTCCCTTTTTCAAATTAAGCTTGTATAAAAAGATCAAAGTCTTGCCTTACATTGTTTAATTGTTCTTTCTAGGACTTGTGAATTGTGGCATTTAAAAACATTCACTTTTGATATAACTCATATTTAAAAAAACTGAAGATCTGCTTTTATAGTTCACAGATTTACTGACATGCTGTTTCACTAGCAGTACAAACATGAATATTGTAACTGATGTCATCTATAAGAACCAAATGTTTTAATTATGTTAGCATAGTGAATAAAAATTTATAATATTTTTATTAATACTTGGAATATATTCAATAGATTGAATGTGACTTCACAACTTACTACAACTATATCAAAACATTTCTGGGGGCTGGAGAGATGGCTCATCAGTTAAGAGCACTGGCTGCTCTTACAGAGGACCCAGGTTCAGTTCCCAGCACGCACATGGCAGCCTACAACCATTCATATCTCCAGTTCAAGGGAGGCCCTCTTCTGATCTTCACAGGCATTGCATGACATGGATGCACTTACATATATGCAGGCAAAACACTCATACGTATAAAATTTTTTTAAAAAAATTCTGGAATAAGGGAAGAGAAGAGAAAAGGGAGTCTTTCAAGGGCAATGGCTAAACAAACTTCTGTTGATCTGGTGTTTTCTTCCTGGGTCTGGCCTCACAGAGTTTCACCATGGAGGTGATTCTAGGGAAGGATGGGGAGCAAGTGTTTAGGATTATTTGCTATGGTCTTTGCTCCACTGCCATCCCGTTCTGTGTACTTGAACATCTGTGTTCCCAGCTTCTCTGTTAAGTTCCTCAGTTGTTCAGGTGAGGAGCTCCCAGGCACTTTTCCTTCAGTAGCAGAAACCCTGAAGACTGGGAGGGGTAAAGGTGGATTGTGTTGTAAGGGCGTGATCAGCATGCTCCAAGGGCTTCCCAGGACAGGAAATGAGGCACAGCTGGCTCCCACAGCTCCTGAGATACGAGGATTTGGCTGGTTCTTTTAGATGCTGGCCTTATTGACCTCCTCCCTGCAAATCAGCATTCTGTGCTCACCAGCAACAGTAATTCCATCGCACATTTGTGTCAGCCACATACCGACTCCCTTCCTACGTACAGTGACCACACAGGTCAGGTCCTCATAGGGTCTTGAGTCTCAACTCTAGATTTCTGGAAGAATCTGATCCACCGAGTTCAGGCCAGATAATCTCCCGGGCTTGTGGGATCAGCTGGTGCAATGGTAACTCTGGCGTCGTCCCCTCAGCTTGAGGTACATCATATTTCCTAAGAAGGCATGCTGAGCCTGGGAGGCCCTAAAATCTGGAGGCAGTGCCTGGCATTTCTGGTTTCTCACCTGTTGACTTCCCCTTTGCTTTAGTGGGATCTGTTACTAAGCCTTTCCATCTGGAGAAAAATTAAAGACTTTCATGCAGAGGCTATGCTAATCAGCAGTGGACTTGAGAGGGAGCAAAATGCTGGGGAAGGTGTGGCCAGGGTGTGCAGGTGGCATGGTCTGTGGTTCAGTAGATCTTGTCTGTGCAGCTTCCAAAAGTTAAAATCCTTCTTTTGACTGGGAGTGGTTGTACATACCTTTAATCCCAACACTAGGGAAGTAGAGTTAGGTGGATCTCTGTGAGTTTGAGGCAAAGCTGGTCTACATAGCAAATTCCAGGCCAGCTAGGACTATATAATGAGAACTTGTCTTTAAAAAAAATCCTTTTACTGCTTGCTTTTCACTAGCATCCTCGTGTGTTGGGCTAGTTTGTCTGTTCCTTCTGAATTGATGGTTCAGAGACGTGCTTTACCTTGGACCACAGACAGAAGTTAGGATTGGACTCAGGGTCTAATAAGGAGCCTGAAAATTGGCTTAATCCAGGATCTGGAAGCCTCACTAGTGGGGGTCTACCCTGAGGAAATAAAACCCGAGTGCAAGTATGTTCACTACAGCAATTTAGAATATTGAGAATGTGGAAATATCTTGAATGTTCAATGCCAGGGGAATGGTTAAGTAAATTATGACATATCTGCTTGGTAGAATACTTAAGCAGTCATCAAAATGGGCCTTCATGAGAGATATCAAATAATGCAAATGTTCATGATATCAAAAGCCAAAGCTGTATTGATCAGTGAATAAATTACTCTAAATAATGCATGGGAAAATGACTGCAGAACGCTAGCAGGGATTGGCTGCGGGTGGCTTTTTCCTTTTGTATTTCCCAGATGTTCTCTAAGAGTGTGTATTGTATTATAGTAGGAAACCTACCAGCTTTTATCAGGAATGAAAAGCCCTGTGGTCTGCGTTAAAACTGGTGCTAATGGGCTGGGTAGGCAGTGCAGTGGTAGAAAACTTGCCTAGCATGTGAGAAGGCCCTGGGTTCCACACCCGGCTCCACAAAACCAAAATCAAACAACTAGTGCCTGTCATGTGATGTGGTTTCCTTTAATCCTATGGAGCCTGCTGCTTTTTTTGTGGAACTGAAATAATGTCTATCTCCTAGGGCTGTTGTGAGGGTTGAAGAGAGGTGAGTCCCTCTCTTCTATCCACAACAACTCTGTGACACATGGGAAATGCTGGGGACATCCACACTGGGATTG